CATTGCCACGTTATCATTTAGGGTGACGTGATAGTGACACATCATTATGCCATTCACACGTATGTTGCCACGTCATCAAAGTGTGCCATATTAGCGTTGACGTCATCCATTTTAATGATCATAATAGATGTCATTAGGGAAAAAGACTAAATTGAAGTAATTTTTAAAATTAAAAAACTTAATTACTTTGATTTTAAGTACATAGATTAAATTAGACAAAATAAAAGAGTGCAAGGACTAGATAAGTCTTTTGATATAAAATTATCATAAATTGTAAGTTTTACACATGTTAATAATAATTGAAGTAAAAAAAAGTAGAGCAAAGTTGGGCTTCAAAGAAAAAGGGTTTGCTTCACTGCCTACAAAATATTGTACTAAGTGCTTGTTTGGTTGAATTTTTTTTCGTTTATCTATCTTTTAAAAATAGAAGCCATTAAAAATATGAATTTTGAGAATCCCTTAAAAAAAACAACTATTTTTTAAGAAATAAATATTAAAAAAGAGAGCTTTTATCTTTTTTTTAAATACCTTTTTTTAGGAGAAATTTTTTTGTTTAAAAAAATCTGCATCTATTAAAAATAATTACAATATTATCTGTTTTTATTTTTATATGATTTATTATTAATTATAAATTTTATGTTATGAAAAGATATTTTTATATTTCTAAAAATTTATTTTAAATAAAGAAAAAAAATAAAATTGACTTTTTTCATTGTGAATAAAGAAATGTATGATTAATAGAAAATTATATATTAAACACCATTTATGATAATTTTAATTAAAATTAGAATTTCTATAAATTTTTTTACCAAATAATTTATCTATAAAAAGAACTTATAAAAGTAAATTTATCAAACAAATTTAGTTTAATTTTAAAAATTATTTTTTTATACAAATTTCATATTAACTTTTTTTTTAATAAATCATATTAACTTTTAAGTTAAAACAAAAGTCAAGACAAATAGGCTCTGAAAATACTTTTAACAGAAAATCACAATCCTATATGATAATTAATCTTACCTTAGATAATTAAAATAGTTGTAACTTGCCTTACCATGCTCCTTTTTATTATTTATTGCCAGACAGAATCAATTTAATCCAAGGATGGACTTGTCAGACAAAGCGAAAGTCAAAATCCAAATCTCAATGCAATCAAGCTTAATTCGAAGAATAGATTAAAAAAACTTATCAACACAAATCACGGTTATTTTTGTACCAAAAGAATGTAGGGACAAGGGTATTGCGTATTCTCCCCCATCTTTGTAATTCACACAGCACAAAAATGGCGGTCAAACCTCTTCTTCTCCTCTTTTCACTGCCGATTCTACTTCCACTCTCGGTCATCATCACGATCAAAGGTCATGATTTCACCATCGAAGAAGCCACCATAGACAGCATCCACAGAGCCTTTGCAGAGAACAAGCTTACATCACTCCAAGTGGTGGATTATTACTTGCAGAGAATTGAGAACTTAAACCCCGAGCTTCGCAGCGTACTGGAAATCAACCCTGACGCGCGGGTTCAAGCAGGGGAGGCTGATCGAGAGAGGAGGAGCAACAACCATGGCCGTAGATCGTTAATGCATGGCGTTCCGGTGCTGCTTAAGGACACGATAGCGACGAATGATAAGATGAACACGACCGCTGGATCGTACGCCCTGGTGGGTTCTGTGGTTGGTAGGGACGCGGGCGTAGTAGAAAAGCTGAGGAAAGTTGGGGCTGTCATTTTGGGGAAGGCGAGTCTATCCGAGTGGTATACCTTTCGCACCTTGGGTAAAATTCCTAACGGCTGGTGTGCTAGAGGCGGCCAAGCCCAGGTCAGGATTTCCCTCTGTCTTAACCTGATCGCTGAACAGGCTAGCTTATACTTTGGCTCCAATTTGATTGTTAAATAAAAAAAATTCGTACTATAGAATGTGTTGCCTTTAATTTTTTTAATTTGGTGGCTTTGTAGAATCCTTATGTTGCATCGGGGGATCCGTGTTGATCAAGCAGCGGATCAGCCATTTCCGTGGCTGCCAACATGGTGAGTGTTTCACTTGGGTCAGAGACTCATGGTTCTATTCTCTGCCCATCTGACTATAACTCCGTAGTAGGTTTCAAGCCAACCGTTGGACTCACCAGCCGGGCTGGTGTTATTCCAATCTCATCCAGACAGGACACCATTGGGTATGAATTTTCTTTTCAAGTGAATAATCATTTCTTTAAACCAATAAACAGGAAAATTAGGTAGCCTAAATACTCGGAAAAATATGAAACATCCATAAGATTCTACTAGCAATTGCCCACCTATTTTCAATAGGAAATGAGCTTTTGACTTTACAATCAATGAATTGCATGCAAACATAATGGCATACTTATTGATTGGGTGTTGAACATTTGGACTGTGATGTAATAATTTTCTTTGACGATGGCCTCAAAGGCCAATAGCCAGGACAGTGTCTGATGCAGTCTACTTACTGGATGAAATTGTGGGCTTTGACCCAAGAGATAGTGAAGCAACATCAGAAGCTGCTAAATTCATTCCTGATGGTGGTTATAAACAATTTCTCAACAAAGATGGGATCAGAGGAAAGAGATTGGGGGTTGTTAGACATCCATTTTTGGACTACTTAAATAGATCCATTGTTTCAACTTTTGGGAGTCACCTGGATATGCTCAGGTATTTATTGTGATGCTCAGGGAGCAGTAATCTACTAATTCTGTACATTTTGTTTTTGTAGAAATACCAGTTTAATTGCACTTGAGGCAGTACTAATCATGTTTTGTTTGTTCCATTTTGAAAAGTACAGAGCAAGAGGGGCAACTATAGTTGATGACCTAGAAATTGCAAATATTGATATAATATCAGATCCTGCAAGAAGTGGTGAGCTAATGCTAATGCTTGCAGAGTTCAAGCGTTCCGTAAATGAATACCTAAAAGAGCTTGCAATCTCTCCTGTGGGGTCACTTGCTGGCATTATTGATTTCAACCAGAATAATCCTGAGCTTGTATGCACACGTTTCTCTGATCAAATGCCAATTTTGTACAGAAATTTAATTGGGTTATGCAAGCTTGGCCAAGCTTTCCTGAATAAAAATATTTGTAACGTGTATAATGCAGGAAAAGCTTGAAGAGTACGGTCAGCACACTTTTATTGAATCAGAGAAGACAAGTGGGATTGGGGAGAAAGAAAGAAAGGCAGTTGAGTATCTGGAAAAACTTTCACAGGATGGATTTGAGAAACTGATGACCGACTATGAACTGGACGCATTGGTAGCGCCTGGTATATCACTTTCCATCACTGTGCTGGCAATTGGAGGCTACCCGGGCATAACCGTCCCAGCTGGGTATCACAGCAATGGGATGCCCTCTGGGATTTGTTTTGGAGGGTTGAAGGGTACAGAACCGAAGCTAATTGAGATTGCTTATGCATTTGAACAAGCTACGAGGCTGAGAAAACCTCCTTTTTCTGAGCCATTTGATGTAACCAGGGACTTTCTCTTTGGTACCGTCTAAACAGATTTGTTGTTTTTCCATGGAACTGCTGTGAGTATTTCTGCTGTAGATCATAAACATATGCTAATGCGAACTAACAGTTTCATACAGCCAAACTGTTTGTGATCATAAACTGCTGTAGATCATAAATATAGTCCACTAGTGTATAGTTTTAAATAAGTTTTGACTTCAATTTTTAGAAAAATAATTTTGATTAAATATATTAAAAAGGTTCTAATTACTTGAGATTAGAGTGATAGATCAAATTTACTTACCATCAATCTCTGTATTGTTGTAATTTTATTGTTTTAAATTTTTTTAATTTAGTTCAAAATTGATATATTACATGAATAGAAAATATTTTACAAAATATTCCAACTCTTGATATTTTTAGTCAAATTAAAAAAGCTACAATATAATATAATTAGACTTTTCCAAATATAAGTGGTAAATTTGATCTGACGTTGAATTTTATTTTTCGATGAATTAAAATTTTTCAAAACTTTATAACACAATACCTTAATCAAACCAATTAAATTAAGAGTAGGTCTAATTTTTACAAAGTCCACAATGCCTTTAAACACATTAATTGCAACGAGTACCCTTAAAGTTAATTAGGGACAGGAAAAGAAAAAGAGAAGAAACACACTGAGAAACAAACATCAAACTTAATATTTTAGTATATTCATGAATGATTTTGCTTTTTTCGGATATATTATAAGAAAAGAAATATTATATTTAGAAATTATTTGTATATATACAGAAATGAATGAGGTATAAATATAAGGCTTTTATTTATAATTTAACCCTAATTAATTAACAGTATTATAATCTAATTAGCTAACTAACCAATTAAAAGTATTGTATTATAACTATATCATGGAATTTGTATAAAACTTTAAACAAAATATTAGTATGTATATATATATATATATATGAACTATGTGTAAAACTATGTCTAAATTATTTTTTTTAAAAAAAAAGTTTACCTATTTGAGTGCTCTACACTTGACAGCAAATTTTTTTGCTTTGCCTGCTCAGTACTAAAAATTCCAAGCTCTATACCACACAGGTGTTGTCTCTATACTTGAAAAACTTACTAAAGATCCAAATTAAACAGTACAAGGAAATTCACCGGCAATGGACGGCAAAGGAGTTGAGGGTTGAACTGGTCATACATGCAGTATAAGGTTCGATGACAGCCAGCTGCACTGTGAAGATTCCTTCATGAAAAGGACAACTAGATAATTGATTATAGTACTGTTCCCAAGTGCTTATGCGTTTTCTCAGCTGACCTTATTCAGTTCGCCACATGTAATTTGCCCAAGGAAGTGGTCACGACTCGCAACGTACTTAGATTACAAATAAAAAATGGTGTTTTCTTGAATTTAACAATCAAGTAAAGCCCCCAAACGTAATCTATTTATAGGATAGGGAATTTTTAATCTAATTCAGACTGAACTGAATTCTAAAATTTAGCAAGTTGTCTCAGTGAGTCAAATTCCCTCCATTGCAGCTTAGCCATGGCTGCCAATTCTTCTCTAAGGAGCTCTTCCGTCTTATTCCTCATCATTCTGATTCTTTCACCGATATCATCATCTGGGTTTTCCACCCGTACAACGACACACTACTCATTCTCAATCAAAGAAGCGACAATAAAAGATATAAAACTAGCTTTCCAGAGAAACCAACTCACTTCACGCCAACTTGTTGAGTTCTATCTCGGAGAAATCGTCAGACTCAATGTGCTCCTTAAAGGGGTCATTGAAGTGAACCCTGATGCGTTGTATCAAGCTGATGCCGCAGACAAAGAGCGGAAGTACTATAATGGTTCACTGCCTGACTTGCACGGTATTCCCATTCTGCTCAAGGATAACATTGGTACTAATGATAAGCTGAACACCACGGCCGGTTCCTTTGCATTGCTTGGCTCAGTCGTGCCAAGGGATGCGGGGGTAGTGATGAAATTGAGAAAAGCTGGAGCAATCATTCTGGGTAAAGCTAGCTTGAGTGAGTGGTCTATGTTTAGGTCGCTTACTGCACCCGCTGGCTTTAGTCCAAGAGGTGGGCAGGGTAAGGTGAGTTAAATGAACCATCCACTCCCAAATTATTTCTACTCTTACGGGTCTTTTGAAATTACCATGTTGACCAGTATGCATGCTCGTATGCGTTCTTCTAGTAGCTCCTTCCAACAGTTATTATCCCCAATCACTAACTATTGTGTAAAAGACAATTGCATGTTCCACGATGTAATGGAGCTTGTTCTGTAATGGCTTGCAGAATCCTTATGTCTTGTCCGCAACTCCTTGTGGGTCAAGTAGTGGATCAGCAATTTCAGTGGCCGCAAACTTGATAACTGCGTCCTTAGGGACGGAGACTGATGGCTCTATCTTATGTCCTGCCAGTTTTAATTCAGTAGTGGGCCTCAAACCTACAGTTGGTCTCACCAGCCGAGCTGGGGTCATTCCAATTACTCCAAGACAGGACACCATTGGGTTAAGTCGCTCTTTATTACCGTTACTTTGGAATGGCTTTCTTTCTTTCTGATTTGTAATTTGTGATTAATTCTTCTGTGAGATGTTATTAATGGTCCTAACCTCAACAAAACACCTCTTCCCTATTGGATTCAACAGGCCTATCTGCAGGACAGTGTCGGATGCTGTTTATGTTCTTGATGCCATTGTAGGCTTCGATTCGAATGACCAAGCAAATAGATGTGTTCAGCCTACATTCCTCCTGGGGGCTATAAACAGTTCCTTAATAGCTATGGGCTCAAAGGAAAGAGATTGGGCATAGTGAGAAATCCATTTCTCAAAATTTTGAAGGATTAGGTTTAGGTCAGACATTTGAGACCCATTTACAAACACTAAGGTGACACATAATAAAATATAACCAACACTTTGTATTCAGGCAGCTGAAACGATCGGCTTAGCCCAATGCCTAATGGTTCAATCTTTTTAATAAAGTACTAACTTTTTGTGAATTCAGGGGAGAAGGTGCTGTTTTGGTAGACAATTTGCAAATAGCCAACATCGATGTTATACTGAATTTCAACTCAAGTGGAGAAGCACTAGCAACCTTAGCTGAATTAAATTGTCCTTGAATGCCTACCTTCAGAGTTGGTGGCTTCCCCAGTGCGATCCTTGGCAGATATCATTGCCTTCAACCTGAAATTCCCCGATTTGGTGGGTAAAGAGCATGAAATTACGCATATGTACATTAATTATTCGAGAGAACATTCCACAGGATTAATGATCACACTGAATGTTGGTTAATATGTGGGGCTTTGCAGGAACTGACAGATAAAATAGGCCAAGATATCTTTCTGGCAGCCCAGGCCACAAATGGGATTGGCGCTCAGGAGAGGGCAGCATTGTCAAACTTGGAAAATCTGTCGAGAAATGGATTCGAGAAGTTGATGAGCGACTACAAGCTGGATGCATTGGTGACTGCTGGGTCAGATGTTTCTCCTATCTATGCAATTGGAGGGTTCCCTGCAATTATTGTGCCTGCTGGATATGATAGCCAGGGGGTTCCTATTGGCCTTTCCTTTGGGGGACTGAAGGGCTCGGAGGCCAAGCTAATTGAAATCGCATATGGCTTTGAGCAAGCTACCAAGATTAGGAAGCCTCCTTCATTCAAACCTTGAAAATTACTTTCCACTACGGCCCTTTACCTATTGTCTATTTGCTATTCATGAAAATTAAGTATGAAATAAACTATACGGCATATTATTTTTTTCTCTCTTTTACATCAATTCAGAATTTTTCATTAAAATTTTTCTAAACAACAATTTAGCTTATATATATATATATATATATCTCTTGTAACCCATCCTTTCTATAAGATTAAAGTTGGGTATAGGCATTATATGTGTCTTGGATTAAAATCAATATTATTTTGATTCTTAATGCAATATTCGATCTTCTTTCTTCTTTTCTGTTCTTTTGATATGAAATATTAAATTTATGTATGAAAAAGAACAAAAATTAATATGTAATAGGAATGTACAAAGTTTTCAAAAAAAAAAAAAAAAAGGAACGTGTGAACATCAACATGAATGATCATGGCTAAGCATCCCCTAACGTATTGAGAATCGTCACAAAAAGGTGCGATGACTGAAAGTCACGGCCCAACTGGAGGTTTTGTTCTTCAACAAGGAACAGTCTATTATTTCTTCCCTCGTGTACCACACTTCTTGTTGAAGATAAAGAAAAAGAAAAAATATATTGGCAGGATTCAATGTGTTTAATTGGTCCCAGCCACTACAAACGAAATAGGATTTGCTTTGCCCCTTACTATGACCGATTTTTATTTTTTTGAATAATTAAAAAAAATTCAAATTTTATTATTTTTAATAAAAAGTTCCTATATTAATTAATAACTCAAATGTTCGAATGCTCTTACCATGGATGATTGAATAAGTTAAAAGTTGAAAAGAAATATGCATTTACGCTGCAGCAATTGATTAGTAGTTTTTGCTTTCTTACTGCTGGAATAAAATGAGGATAACATGCGCACACTGCAGGAATCGACTAATGGAATCAAATCACTATTATGCTTAATCTCACACACAACCTTAATTAGATAAATTAGATAAAGGATGAAAATAAGCATCTTATAAATGGGTAATATTAAATTTAGTTTTATTTTATATTTAGATTTCTTAATACTATGCTTATTTATACTCAACAAATTAGTTACGAAAATTTATGTTGTTCAAATAAAAAAAATTACTTCTAATTAAAAGATTTAATTTTAATTAATACAATGCATAAAGTATTTTCAAATTCTGGTTGGGTTGATCAGTTTGTACAAGAATGGTGTACTAATTTATAGTCTACTGTACTAAGCAAGCCAAATTCAATTGTTCATTGGGAGAAAAAAAAGCACCAGAGAAAAGTTTGCTTTTCCTTTTCTCCTCCAATGCAAAGGGCATCATTTGTCTGACCTAACCAGGTTAATGCGGATTCACTTTATCACATAAAGGCATGTCCCAGCAATCCTGAGGAACCATTATCAGAACCCAAAAAGCAAAGTTGATGTCCAAACATTAATTATTTTCACGATGCACTGCATACATATTTGATGATGTTGGAGAAATCCTGCAATAAGATAAATTTGTTCACACTCTCCATAAAAGTGCACTTTCTGATAAGGTAGTAGATGAATGGCAATTATAATTTTTCAGTTCAAATCATACGATTACATTAATAAAGAAATTATAATTCTGCCAGCTTTTATTTATTTACTGAGAAACTCTGATTCTATGCAGGCTAAAAGAGTTGAACGAGGGAAACAGGTATCTTCAATTGCAGCTATGGTGTCTACCAAATCCTCTCCTCTAAGCTTTCCCCTGTTTTTAACATTGATGATTCTATTTCTTGCAAATTAAGGCGTATAGCTCCGAAAAAGACTACACATCTATAGCAACGACTGCTGAGTTCAGAATGTCATTGCATTCTTACCTAAAAGAGCTTGTGATATCTGCAGCTCGATCCTTGAAAGATGTCATTGCATTCAACAATAAATTTTCAGATTTGGTGAGTATTTCAGCAATCAACACATACAGTTATCTTCACTAATGCAATCTTCCCAAATTTGGTTTTGAGTAAAGCTTATATTTGGTGCTGAGCGGCATGCTTGAGTTTTGGGTCAAGCAGGAAAAAACACAAGGAATATAGGCAACAGCTTTTCCTTGATGCTGAAGCTACGAATGGCATCGGCAAGAAAGAGAAGGACGCGATATTACATTTAGAAAAAATGTCAAGAGATGGAATCGAGAAGTTGATGAGGGAGGACAAGCTAGACGCTTTGTTGTCACCTTTTTCGTCAGCTTCGTCTGTTTTGGCAATAGGTGGATATCCAGGAATCATGCCTTGTCTCAGCAGGATATGATACAATGGGGTTCCTTTTGGCATTTGCTTTGCAGGACCAAGGGGCTCTGAGCAAACGCTGATTGAGACTGCACATGCCTCGGAGCAAGCCACTAAAATTAGGAGGCCTCCTTCGTCCAAGCACTGAAGCCATCACGTACTGAAAGGTTCAGGCCATAGGGACATCCATACGATTTTTGGTTTATTAGATGTTTCATCCTCGCAGCTTTCAAAATCGACCATGCTTAATGGTTGATATACTCTTAAGTTTATGTAGTGTTATATAAATAATCAGGTACTTTCTTTTTCTTTTTTTTCTTTTTTTGAAAATTAAACTTTCATTGATGTTGAGGTGCAATCTTCCGTGAAAGGAAACAAAGTGAAGATTATATATATAATCTTTGATATTATATAAACATTAATTTCTTAAATTTTTTTAAAAAATACAGTTATATGCATCCGGGATGCTGGTGTGGTAACCAAATTTAGGAAATATGGGGCTATTATTCTCGGAAAGGCTAGCTTGAGTGAGTGGGATCATTACAGGGAAGAATATGCACTCGCTGGCTGGCGTGCCCGGACTGGCCAAGGAAAGGTGAGAAAAGGATACTACACTGACACGAATGAACCTGCAATATTTATCAGATAGAAATAGAAATAGTTGATATAGAATTTAATTTTCTATGAAAACACAAGATCAGATAAATAGTCTTAAATTATTATGAGTTTTACGGAGCTAAAAACATTCAAATTCAATTTCTGCAGTTTTGTATTATTGCAAAACTTAATTTGGATTGATTTCCAAATTGACAAGAAATAATTTAAGAAACAAACACGATTGTCTGAACTTGTAAGCAGAATCCCCATAATCTTTCAGCAGATCCGTGTGGGTCAAGTGGTGGATCGGCAATACCAGCAGCAGCAAATATGGCAGCAGTGTCGCTTGGGACTGACTGCTGGCTGAATTCTATGTCCATCCAGTTTTAACTCAATTGTTGGCATCAAACCCACCGTAGGTCTTACCTGTCGAGCTGGAGTCATCCCTATTAGTCCTAGACAGGATACGGTTGGGTAAGTATTATTCTCTGATTTCTGTCCTTTAGAAAACAATCCACAATTTCCCTCACTTGTTGATCTCTGCAATAGCTCATAACTGGAGGAAAGTATTTTTTTTAATGTGAATGATCACTCTAAGTGTATTCGTCCTCAGCGAGAAACAGAGGATTTGTCTATCACCTTATAGTTCATTAGTTCTTTTAATTAAGTTTTATGATCCTTTTTGCGCTCCTTTTCTTTAAGGAGTAGGGGTTCTCGTATTAAACCGTTTTATATAGCTTCTGTAATACACCAAAAATAACAATGGACTCCTGCTCTGACGAATTGAAGCAGACCCATGTGCAGAACGGTGGCGGATGCTGTATATGTTCTTGATGCCATTGCAGGCATGAATTATAATGATAAAGCGACCATTGAAGCATCAAAGTACATTCACATGGTGGCTACAAACAATTTCTAAAGCCCCTGTGGTCTCAAACGGAAGAGATTGGGCTTACTGAGGAATGTGTTCTTCAGATTCAATAATGGATCCCTTTTGTCTGAAGTTTTTGGCAGTCATTTTTTGACTTTAAGGTACCAAAACGAAAAATTTGCAATTGTTAGTTCAAGTTCGAATCATAATTTTAGACACTTTTTGTTATTAATAATTGAAAAACAAAATTTCTTCAAGTAAAGGCAAGGGGGTGCAGTTGTGGTAGAAAATTTGGGCACAGACAAGTTTCTGGCTGTGTATACCTCTTTCCTAGATAATGAAACAATAGCATTGAATGCTGAGTTCAAATTGGCCTTGGATTCTTACCTAAAAGAGCTTGTGGTATCTCCTGTACGATCCTTGAGAGATGTCATTGCATTCAACAATAAATTTTCAGATTTGGTCAGTATTTCTGCTGGTATTACATACATAGTTGCAAAGTTATACCTTAAACTTGGGTAAATAAGTGAGTTTTGCTTGATTTGAATGGCAATGCAGGAAAAAAGTCAAGGAATATGGCCAGCATCTTCTCCTTGAAGCTGAAGCTACAAACGGAATCGGGAAAAAAAGATAAAGGAAGCATTAACAAATTTAGCAAAAAGGTCAAGAGATGGGTTTGAGAAATTGATGAAGAAGAACAAGCTGGACGCGTTGCCAGCTCCTCTCCATCTCGGTTCTCATCTGCTTGCAATTGGCGGTTTTCCAGGAATAAGTGTCCCCGCTGGATATGTTACAGACGGGATGCCCTTTGGCATTACCTTTGGAGGACTAAAGGGGTCGGAGCCAACGCTAATGAAGATTGCATACGGATTCGAGCAAGCCACTAAGATTAGGAGGCCTCCTTCATTCAAGCACTATAAGCTATTGCTGCTATGTTAAGCCCTAAGTCCTGCATTTAATTTTTGGTTTAATTGAGGTTAAAAATCATATACTTTCCCTTCAATTTCCGTATCAAGTAAAGATTTAGAAAGGAAAGAAACATGTGAAAGGTAAGGATGGGAAACCTATATTTTCTTCTGCTCGTTCGGAATGTGTGATAGAAAATGGAAAATAGAGGCAATTATTAGTTAATGGTCCGACGAATTTGATCTTAGGGAGAAAACTCTTTAATTTTTTTTTCCCATTTTTCCCTTATGCCAAGTTACACGAGGGAATAATAGATCGTTTTCCTCTTTTATTCATACCAAAACTAATTTAATTTCCATAATCATCATAATATTTTGTTTTTGTAATTAAATTCAGACAACAAAATCAAAGTTGATTTTTTTAATTAAAAACCAGTGTTCCTACAGGAATTTTGGAATGTCTTATTCAAAAGTCCAATATCGACTTCAACCACTAATTTATTATGAATGCCCAGGAACTTCAATGAGTGTTAATTTTGAATTTGATTATAAAAATTTAATAATTAAATCTTATCCGAACTCAATTAAAAATGTTCTATTAAAATCAAAACCCTTTATTTTTCATGTATTCCAAAATGAAAAATACATTAAAATATACTTACTTAATTACTTATAATCCTAGATTAATTAATTTGATTAATTGAAACAAAATTTAAAATCAAAACCAACCAAATTAATAATATTTAATCACACTTATTTTTGAATTAATCAAAAATCAACTAACCAAATCGTTTTAATACAAGTTATTTGATTAATTCAACTTTAACAGAAAGTTGTCCTCTCCTAAACAAGGACTAATGGTGCAAACACAGTGTCCATAAGGTTTCAAGGCTGTTGGTGTTGAGCTATCACGAGGAATTGATGGCATGGCCCTGAACATGGGGACAGGGGAGGTATCACGGATTGGGCGGGCAAGTAACAGTTTCCAGATCAAACTGATTTGACTGTAGAATTGAAAATTATGGTACAATATTTATGGGCTATGACCTTCTTACTATATATAACGTTTAAGTAATAATCCATATAAACGAGGCCAGTTGGAACATTTCCCTATTACATTCAAGCAAAGTCCTTAAAACCACATTATATCTAACCAGCGAAGAAAAAGAAAAACCTGGAATATGGAAAGAGGACCGATCATCACTTGCATTTTGATCCTTAGCATCGCCACCTTACCGGTGTATAGCCAGTACTACTCCAAGACGGTGCCATATGATCCCAAGCCAGAGAAAATTACCAATCTCCACTTCTTTTTCCATGACACTCTCAGTGGGAAAGATCCTTCTGCTGTCTTGGTAGCCCGTGCCAACATCAGCAGCGACGACAGCGCACTGGTGCCATTCAGCAGCGTCTTTGCCATAGATGATCCCCTCACCGTAGGTCCTGAGCTGACTTCGGAGGTTATTGGGAATGCTCAAGGGCTCTGGGTGTCATCCGGTAAAGATATACCGACCCTGGTGGCATTCTTTGATTTTGGCTTCACTAAAGGAGAGTTCAATGGAAGCTCCATCAGTGTGTTTTCGAGGAATCCAATTTCGGAGACTGAACGTGAGCTTGCTGTGGTTGGAGGAAGGGGAAAATTCCGAATGGCTAGAGGGGTTGCACAACTTAAGACTTACTTCCTTAATGTGACTAGTGGTGATGCCATTGTTGAGTATAATATGACTGTGATTCATCACCAAGATTAAGTGCTATTTTAATCTGGAATAAAATTATAGTATTATTAGTAATTTGCAGACAACTAAGATTTGCTTAATGTATCAAGTCATTCTCTAGAACCAAAGATGAGCAAATGGATTGAGTAAGCACTAAGTGTGAATTTTAATTGTAAATGATTTCAATTTTTTTAAGGAAAAAAAAATTAAAAGAGGGGGTGGGTGGCCTGGTTGACTTGCCGTTGGAGGTAGGAATTGTTCATTCCTCTTACATTTAGTCACCTGAACAGATTAATAAGGGCAATATGCTGATACAATTTTCCATTAAAACGAACTTGAAATTATCAACCCATATCATTCAAATTAGTTTTATCATAATCTCAATTTTTAAATTACATCCGAAGATTTGACACATTTATTGATATATGATCCTTTATCTAAAAAAAAATTTAAACCCCCTTCTTCAATTATATAAAAAAAAACTCACAATTTCTAAATAATTAATTTCCGGTTCAAATTATACAAGCAGCAAAGTCAACTCTCATGTCATGTGGAATCCCAATATTCCCTCATTCATCTCTGAAAAGTACTCCAGTACTAACTGGACCAGGATTTCCTGAGGCAGAACCATCTTAGGTGAGTTTGCATCCTGGCTTAGTTGGATTCCAAGAAATATTGATGATTGATCTGTCTACTATAGTGGCGTGAAAACATTCGGTGGTTTGTTGAGTTGCCGGGGTAGATACCACATTAAGGGAATCAAGAATGCCTTCAGACTAAATCTGTTATCTCTACGTTTGCAAACAATCCAACATCCACAAGCAAAAGGAGTGTCCAAGGAAAGTTGTTAGGATTGGAATTCTTGGAGGATAGATTAATGATAAACCAATCGGGAGAAAGATTCAGAACTAAAAAAAGAGTCGCCCAAAAGAATCAGAACTATGTGATATTTTTCATTTCCAAAACAATTGACAATTGGGAATTTGGAATGCTGTCTCGGCACGACCTGCGCAAGTCTGTCATAATTAGTAGCAAGCCCGACATAATCCCATTATCAGTTACCAACCTTATCATTGCTTAACATCAATCACGATTTGCTTTCAATATCACCTCGTAGCGCCTGGTAAATCACTTTCCATCACTGTGCTGGCAATTGGAGGCTACCCGGGCATAACCGTCCC